GCCAGTTAGTTAGAAGCAGATAACAGGTTTATCTCACCGAGACATTTTAGACCCGGCAACAATGTGGCCTCAGTATTAGGCCTTTAATGCCCATTGACAAAATTTTTTTTGTGGGGGTTGTTAAAAAAACGAAAATAATTTTTTGTGGGGGTTGTTAAAAAAACGAAAAGTGGTCTAAGTTACCCCGCCGGTCTAAGTTACCCCATTTTACGGTACAGTATTACAGAATTCAACCAGCAAGTGCAATAGTCTGATCAAAGTGCTCATTGAATTTATCTGCACCGTAGTATAGGCATCATCACCTGTCCATGTTCCTCTTTATTCCATAATTCTTTACTAATTCTTTTCCCCCCAATTCGCAAGTTCTTAACTACTTGTTCTGGCACAATCCTTGACTTCTCTCATAAGCCGCTGATCCCATGTAATAAATTATGTATCGTTGTTTTAACTCTGTTTAATAAAACTCAAAAAACACCAACTTTAATTCCCCATAAACTAAGTAGCTGCAATAGACAAATACAAGCTGATGACAAGTTCATCACACCCGCATAACAATAGTCACAAACTGCTACAATGCGTCGCCGGGTAATTTTTAATGAAAAGCCATTTACGCTGAGTAATGACGAACTATTTACAAGCCACGAACTTAGTTACAAGGTTGCATGCACGTGTTACCCCAAATAACTAATTTTACCCTAAAAACAGTCTGATTGTACAGCAAGTGTCAACTGAACAAGTAATAAAGCAGTCTGACCGCTCTAATCATTCTAATGTGACTGAAACTACGCAATCGAAAAAATGTTTACATTTTTTGCGGGAACTCATCGCAAATGATTTCCGGACAAGCTTCGCTGCATCGTATTCCATCCAACACACCGGAAACCTTACTTTTTTTCTAAATAGTTGGCCGAAGACTGAGAAATATATTAAATGGAAGAATTTCAATCTAAACGTGTCGGCAAGATCTTCTGAAGGCAAAAATTTGGCTACTGAAGCGTCGCCAAAGATCTTGCAATATTCATCCACTCTCTGCACAGTGGTAATTAGGAAGTTAGGACAAATGGACAATAGACCTCAAATTTTTATAACAAATGCTCCTTAGTCCTTTAGAGCTGTGAGATTTCAAAAATAAATAGAAAAATTCCAATCTTGAATTCCTAAATGCTTTATCCTTGAATAAATTCATAGTAGCAAAGCAGAGAGTTTTTTAGACTCTCCCTCAACGCTCAAGTTCATTTTTGAGTCCTATAAGCATAGTGGCAAAGCAGAGAGTTTTTTAGACTCTCCCTCAAGTTCATTTTTGAGTCCTATAAGTAGACCAGTAAAGTATCCTGGATACCAGCACTATCATACATAAGAAATCGGTTTAGATCTTGAATAAATGAGGAAATTAAAAATGAACTGATTCTAAAAAATCTCTGCTTTGCCACTATGCCTATAAGTAGACCAGTCACCAGTAAAGTATCCTGGATACCAGCATTATTATACATAAGAAATTGGTATAAATCTGAAGTAAATAAGGAAATTAAAAATAAACTGATTCTAAAAAATTCTGTGCTTTGTCACTATCTGGATCTTGATACAGTTTAGCACTTTAGCCTAGGCGGCTAGGCCTAGAGGCTAGAGCAAGCCACATAGTGGCAAAGCAGAGAGTTTTTTAGACTCTCCCTCAAGTTCATTTTTGAGTCCTATTGGTAGACCAGTAAAGTATCCTGGATACTAGCATTATCATACTTAAGAAATTTGTTTAAACCTTGAGTAAATGATGAAATTAAAAATGAACTGATTCTAAAAAAGCCCTAGTTTGCCACTATGGCAAGCCAACTCAGCAACTTCAGCTATAACCTATCAGCTCAGCTAGCCTCAGCACACACAAAGTCTGACTGTCTGAAATCTGAATAACAGCTTATATTAATAGGCTATCGCCGCTATGGTTTAATGGTTATACCTAGTATAAGTTAGGTATAGTTTAATTTCACCGTTGCTGGTCTACTCATATAATTACAAAAATCTTTAAAAGCCTTGAATCTCGAAATCTCACCTTAAAATTCTCTACTTCATCTGAAATTAGAAAAGGTTAATTGATAATACTGCATCTCCAAATCTAACAGTTTCTCCACACATCTGACATAAACATTCAACAGCTGTTACATCCATTAGCAAGGAAAGTAGGAAAACACAACATACGTGGTGAATCTTTAACTGCTAAGAAATTTGCAGTACTCTGGACGAATGAGTATGGTTCTATCATTTCGAGCGAAATATACACGAAAGTCGATCGAACGTTTAAGTGCATGAATACCTGCCTCATTTATCAAAATAAGTTGAACTGAACAGTGGTTTGCTGTGTGAACTCTGTTTTAATGTTAGATTGCTTACAGTAAAATTTTTTGAAAGTTTGGAGATATATATATCAAAAATATATTTAGATACCTTATACAAGAAGACAATAGCAATTACAATAACACAGAAACATTATTTCTCGAAAACATAAATTGTTGCAGTCGAACAACTTTTCAGGTACTTTGGATTATTTTACGCTCATTTTCTTGTTGTATTTGCACCATCATACCATGTCGACACTATTGGACCACATCGACACTTTTAGACCAAATTTCTGGGATGAATTTCCAAAGCACGTTTTCCGCGTATAAATTTGTCAAATCGAAACCAATCTGGAACAAAATTTAATTGCATTATTTATTGACATTGCGCTCATTCTAGCCTGCTTTGATTTTAATTAGGAAGCTAAGCGCAAAGTTGTAGCATGTTTTCCAAGCCTAATTTCGTCAAATCGAAACGGATCTTACAAAATTATCAACGATGATATTTATTTAAATGACGCTACAGCAAACATCGACTTGAGTTTTTTCTCTGCTTCGATTTTGATTGGTGCGCTAAATGCTAAGTTTTCGCAGGTTTTTAGCAGGCATAGACTCTCCAGTTCTGCTTTTTTTTGCAGGCATAAACTTTCCAAACCGAAACCAACAGTTCCTGTGTAACAACGAAGCTACGGTATTTATTTGCAATGCATTGCTGCTAAAGTTGTTAGAATATTTTCACGTAGAGCGCTACACGCTAAGTTATCCATTAATAAGTGGCCAAAACTTAGCGTTCAGGGCTCTTGGTAGAAAATAAGCGGACAAAAATTCTTCTGACAACTTACAGGAGCATCATGGCTATAAATGGCATCGTTGTTAACTACATATGTCAAGATTGGTTTCAATTTGACGAAATTATGCGTGGAAAATCTTCTTAAACTTAACGATTGGCGCGCTGATAGAACCACGATGCTAGAATGAGATAGAAATTGCGCCACGATGCGCTGATAGAAATTGGTCGATGCTAGAATGAGCGTAATGTCAATAATTTTCTCCATTTTACCACGTTTTTCTTAGCTCGCTTTCGTGTCTGTCTGTCTGTCTGTGATGATCAAATCTTGCAATCAATATTTCACCAACTTTCCCGCTAGCTAGCGCTCTAAAACTTTTAGGGAAGCTCAGCTCCCGATGATAATACAATAATCAATAATTTGTTGCACGTTTCCAGGCGTATTTATTCAATGAAATGCATGGAATTTATTCAATTGGTGCATTAAATGAAATGAAATTAAATGCACCAATGTATCCCCTCGAATACAATTTTCTACAGAACTTCGAAAGGAATTTTCTTTCGTGCATTTGCGTGGCCAGCTGAAATAAAACGAATATTATGTAGGACTAAAAAGGAGAAAATAAATTATGGCTCGCCCCAAAAAACTTGGGTTGGGCAGATTTATGATTAAAGCGAAAAGCACACAACACACGAATTTTGGAAATTTGATGGTGAACGTACAGCCCGACCCACGTTTTTTGGGGCGAGCCATAATTTATTTTCTACTTTTTAGTCCACAAGAAAAACGTGTTTTTTTAAGTTTTTTTTTTAAGTATTTTATTTAATTTGATCCTGATCGGTTTCGATTTGATTAACACATTCGTGAAAACTTGATACGGAAATTTGTATAAAAAATGTGCTTGAAATCACGCGTGCCTGAAAACAAAGGCTCTACGAATTCGAAACCGCCGTGCTACATAGACCCACGTTGCTGAGAAGCAAGACGAGTGATTTGTTATTTTGCCGGACGCTCCTTTACCTCCACTATCAAACACTGAAACACTGCTCTGCTGCCATAAGGAATGTTGCAAGTGTCAGTGTCCTACGTGACGATGAGTTAAGGTATTTTGGCCCATTTCCTCGCCGCCCAGGGTTCCCAGATAGCTGCTCAAGTATAAGGTCGCTGGCAGATTTCATGATGCTACAGTCAGTCTACGTATGTGTTTTCAAAACTTTTTCTTGAACAAATTCATGTTGTTCGAGCATTAAATTGTTAGGCTAATTGCGTACATCGTTTCATTGATCTATAATGTACATGACACCAGTATCGTTTGGTTTGGTGCGACGTATCAGTGGAGTGAGTAATCCAAACACATACGACACTGGAACGGTTCGATAGTATCACCCCTCACTCTTGTCGTGCGCAACTGTTTTGTTGCTGTTTAATTGTGGTGGTCCCAATTTGTTCTAGCATGGTATCGCATTATGATATCTTGATGCGCTCGCCGATTACTTGACGCAGGAAGACCTAGCAGTTCGAGGAGGTGAAACGAAACTGCTATAAAATTTAGTCCCAATTATTTTCCTGGCAATCATTCTTCAGCCATCATTTGATATTATACTTGTTTTTACAGTAATTCTACTGTCAGCGGGGAAAAACTGCAGCCAGAAAGGTTTATCAACACACAATACACTACTTCAAGCCAATAATTAGGTGTTTCCAGAACACGACTAGAAATAATCATGTTAAAGATGGTTTGGATCGACTGTAGAATTATCGAAATTATCTGAAATCAGAGTCGAATGATAAAGCGATGGTTGTTTGGCGTGAATGATTGCTGGTTTAGCCCGTTATTATGTACAACCCAACCCTATCAAGGTTCGTTTTTATGATAGAAAAACAAACGCATGCTCTAAATTTTATTAACAAGACAGCCCTGCGGCGCTACAACTAGCATTTGAGAGCCTTGACCTACATCGACCGCTCATGAACCTCGGTGAACAAGCGTACGACCGCGCCATAATAAATTCATCCAAAACTGCACTGGGGTTTGATTCACTTTGTACATGACCGATGGAGCGTTAAATGCACATCCTTAATGTGATTCTGATTACTTTTCTTCTAAGTATTTACAACAGTTTTTTTTGCACGCTAGTCGCTAGAAGCTAATATAGGGCAGGAGCAAAATAATTTTAAGCTTTGGTCACGCGGCAATACGTGGGACTTTAATTGATTCCTGTTTGAGACATCAAATTTCAACCGAGGCATTGGTTGCAATATTGGGAAATTAGTTGATTCAAATTGCCAACCTATGTATAGCATGTTATGCAACTTACAACTCTAAATTTGATAATCTCATGTTCCCAATACATTTCGTCAAATTAAGTGTGAATAGGGAAATATCAGATCAATTATATGTCTCATAGAAACATGTTTCCTATTTTCAGGTGTCTCATTTTGGCCTAGCTGCGATATCATCAGGAGCACCGCCAACGGAAGTCGTCGCATTTCGATGTCGATCGGATCGTTCGATGTGACAGCGAAGCAAGAGTGCGGCGCCAAATATTCAAAGCGTCACAATCAAAACTTCAAAACACGTCAAAATTTGCCTTCATTTATTGACATGGTCGCAGATTGCCAAATTCATGGTCTTGGGTTCCACGTAATTTTAAATTCTGTATAAGAAAATTATTAGTATTTTTTGAATCCCAACTTCGAGGCAGAAAAACTTTCTAAAAAAATACGAATAACCATTTAAAGTTGAAAATAATCGTCAGGTGCACACAGAAAGTTGCTCTTCAGGTCGGCTTTGCAGCTGGTAATTCTCGTATTGCTTCTCCTTCGACGAATCTTGAATCTAGATATCGATCACATGAAGAGATCTCATGATTCGGTGTCATGGCGGATATCGAGATGGATCTCACGGATCGAGACTCAGAAATAAGCTCGAACACTTTTGACACATTTTAATGAGCATCATCTTGAAATATGATACAATAACTTGCGGCCGGTCGTCAAGCGTAAACCAATGAACATCAATTCTTGGCAAAATTTATGTTAAGAAAACAAAATAACACAAGATCCGATTGAAAATAACCGAAAAAGAACTCTTGTGCGACGAGAAGCGCGTGGTCCCGTCAGTGCCTGATGAGACGCGGGTGTGAGGGGTGGTGCGGGGCGCGCAGGTCACGCAGTACGGCCGCTTCAGCAGCACCGCTCCCGCAACCTGCAGCAGTTGTTGCGCTCATAGCGCACCAGCAGGTGACACAAGCAGTCCTCTGCAACACATAATTGACATTTATATGAAGTAGACGTTATTTTGTGTCGTTAATCTAAAGAAAGGACGGAAAATTTTATCAGGTTCGCATAAAATGTTGAACAATTTATTTCTCAGCGCATTTAGTTTCAAGACCCAACTTAGCAACTTGATAAGTCGAGTCTCAAGTAGAACAGAGAACGAAGCACCAGTAACTGGGTGCAACAACATAAACGCGCAGCACCAGTAACTGCCTCGAGACAACATAGACAGGGCGAACAGTACAGAACGAACAACACTGCTACTCATCAACTCGAGCCGTACGGTCCGAGCTTGTCTCTAAAGCTTCAGCGCGTAATGGTTCAACCAAATGTTCGAATTATGATCCCTGAGCCTCAACATCGTCATTAGATTAAGTGCGCCTGAACACCATTCAACATGGGCGGGAGTTCGAAAGGATACACTAGATATAGTTTTTAAACGAGTATTTCAATGTTAGTTTGCAAATAGGTCCAGGATCGATGTAGTAACTCTGAACTTGGTCCCGCTCAGTGGACACTTCAAACCCGACGAGTTCGTGACGTTGGCATGTAGTATAATAGGTCGCGCAAGATTTTGTTACCAGGTGCTAACGACGCGACTTGTTGGCTTATTAGGTTGAAATGATGCTACTTGCTGCAGTACTACAGGAGCGAATAACGTGACTTGCTTTGTTACTAATTGCCAATGAAGTTACTTGCTTGGTTATCGAGCATCAATGACGGTACGTGCTTGGTTAATTTGGTGCGAACGCCGTATCTCGTTAGGTAATCAAGAATTGTAACGAAAAAAATTATATGCTTCATATGTTCATTGAAAACAAATTGAAATCGTCAAGGCGATTTCAAGCGGGCCACAACTATAGGCGATGTTAGGACATTGATTTCCGTTTAAAAGCAAGCATTTTTAAATTTAGTAATTTACTAATTATGCTTGTATTTTTTAAGTTTTCGAAGTGATGATAGAGCTAGTTTCAGATGCGTTTTCAATGGAAACAATGCATTTACTCAACTATTGAGGTACAAATGCTGTCACATGGTTGATAGGTACAAATGCTGTCACTTGGTTGGTAGGTACAAATGCTGTCACTTGGTTGGTAGGTACAAATGCAGTCACTTTGTGGTATAGCACGTCGTCTGTGCTTCTCGAAAACTCAAAGCCATTTCCGATAAGCGATATTATTTCCGTAAGAACAAAACTTCAGACCCATTTTCAGCCGAACTGAACGTGTTTCAAAAATTTATAATTTCTTATCAATCGTTATTTAACTTATAATCAATTAAATTGTATTAATTGAATTTTACGCACGGATTTCTGATTTGGCTATTAAATTCCGAAACTACTTATTCGAGTCATATCGGAGAACTGATAAAACCTCCTGAAATTATCAGGAACTTGAATGCAGTTGAGGTGCAAATCATACCATCGAAGATCGCTGTTGAATATCTATCCAGTCATTGCATGAGCCATCTCAGCTGCTCAGTTGAGCTGGAAGTACGGCTTCATATTCGGAGCGATCATTAATTAGCTATGGCCTGCAAATGTTCCAAGGCAGCAATTTCGGTTACATGGTTAGTCGTGGAAACACATTCACGATTCATACAACTCACTCTGAATAAAACGAACATAGCAAACCATTTCATGCATACTGCTCCTGGAATTGAAGTTTGTGAACAATTTTACAAGGAATGTTTAATGTTGATGGCTTATAGATCGAACAGCGAGTGAGAAAAATCCCCTGTTCCTGAGAAAGTTATTTTATTAAGTAATCGATTCAATTAATTAGGCTCCTGGCGCTAACCTGTAATCGCGACCACTGATTATACTACTTCATAAAAATCAACTCACGTTTGTTGCGGACAACGTGGCTGAGACTCGTTCGTCTCCGACGCCGAAAATCGCTAAAACGAGCCGGCAAGAGGAGTGCCGTTTGTTGCGGTGCCATCATGAAATGCCGGGCTGTCCGTAGAGATTTCGATACAAGCGATGATCCTGGGCCATGGCCAGTCAAGCTGTAGGCATTTGAATTGGATCCGAGAATTAGAAAAACACCAAGAAACATAAATAGAACGAACGCCATCACTCGCACCGACATTGTGACTGTGAGTGGATCTTGTTATTGAGTTGCAGTTGGAGTTTCTAATCGGCGTGGTACTACTGTATTTGCTTTAGTAGCTCATGCAGGGTGTGTGAAGCACTACGAGGAGCAACCAACTGCATCACTGTGCACTGCTCGCCCTCACGTGGGGCTGATAAACAGGAGGACATCAGCACTGGCAGGAAATGTCCACTATACAGCGCAACTCTCTGGGACTAGCGGCAAGTGGAGCGACGTGACTCCGATCGCACCAGTTGCATGGCGTGCACACTTCACCCAATGCTGAGGAAAGCCTGCAATCCAAGATGGCGTTCAAGATTTTGCCATTTACATCATGATTGAATTTTGCGCCTATTTTTGCTTAAAAGTCTCCAATTTGATTTTTTTCGCGAGTCTTTCGAAACATAAAAGTCATTTTGCCAATTCTTGGATATTCGACCATACAGCTGCCACATAGATATCACCACTGAAACCTATATACGTTTTTAACAGATGAGTTCAAAAATATGACTTCCCGTATAAGTGAAATTATTATAATTTCAAAAGCGTATCGAATACGATAAATATTGAAAAATATTTGCACACAAGAGTCTTGTCACACTTTTTACTCATGAATGTTAATTTCAATACACAGGGTTTAATAGGACTGTTCATTGCAACGCACGAGTAAGCCTCACCAACACGTATTGTCACCGCTTCAGAAGATGTCGCAGATGACAGCTTCTATGGGTCTCTAAGTAATTAAAACCTTGCTCTCCAGCAAGTCGCCTTGTAGCTTTTCTCGTATGTATAAGCTTCTTGCATAACACTTGCAGTCAGCTGGCATGCCTATGTTCTTGAGGCCCTTCCGTGAAGCCATCCATTGGAAGCACATATGACTGGTAGAGGCAAGCAGACGATGCGAGGAGGAAGTGTCGACAGGATGCAAGTGTCAAGTCGCTGGCCGGTAAAGGGCTTACGGAGGCGCTTTTTGAATAATCGATGGTTTTATCAGGCTGGGCTTGACGGCTCCCGCACCTTTTCCTAATGGGGATTGACGTTAAACTCGTACGACGTAAGATGAGACTGGACGATCGTATGATTGATGTTTCCAGTATATTACAATATATTTTTTACTACAATTGTTTTTTTAGAATATTTAAGGGTTGTCATTCATTTGAATGAGTTTAATTCATCAAAATTAAGCCATAGGTATATTTAATTATAATATGATCGTAGATTACTTCTCCATATTTTTCATTATTATCGAATTTGATTGCTGTAATTCTGCCAAAGCGAGAACCGGATTATGAATTGCACCAGTACCGATCAGTTTTGAGAGCTAAGAATTGGATGGCTCGCTGGAACTCAAGTACTAAAAATATGGAGGTGTATATACATTACTATATCACTTTTTTGCACTAGTATATTTCAAATGAGTTCTACACTTGCGGCTTTGAATGAATGTTAAATGTGTAATGTAGATTTAAAGGCACGGCCACACTCAGCGCACGCGGCCGAGGTGCTCCGGAAGAGCCGTTGACATATTTTTCATCAGCTGCGGCCGCTGCTCACGTGCGCCGCAGGAACTAATCCCGGCAGTTTACGTTACTCATCCTTCGCCGCGTATTGCTGCGCACTCTCCAGTCTTTGATATCGAATCGAATTGCAAGATCAAAATGAAAAACCAAATCAGATCATTGCTCATAATAGGAAGTACAAAGGAGATGATAGATGGAGGTTTCTATTATCTACAGTGATTCTACACCATCACATATCTGCATCCTAGCGCCTCAAAACCTAGAATTAGTAAAATAATTAATTAATCAACTCAATTATACGCACTCGTTTCAACTTGTGGTTATGCTTAATCAATTTTTTTAAATTCTAGAATTAAATTGGAGGTTTTGGGATTCACCAAGCAGTAGTTTTCTGCGGAAAATAACATATTTATGACTATTGTAAATAAATTAGTTTTTCCTTTCACATTTAATATACAATAAATTATAGTTAAAGTGACGAAATTTCTTGGAAATTTCCTCATTCGCACGAAAATGGAGACAAGTAGACGACCGACTGGAGCAAAGTAAATGCGATCATATATACTTAAATAACGACTCATTAGAGGTGCATCTTGAATAGAACCTGCCCTTATAAAACTTCTTTCTCTTGGTCAAATCAGTGCGACCCGAGTCTTTTGTGGTTCTAAATACGCACGTTAAGCTCAGAGCGCTCATCCAACCCGAATGATTTGTGGTTTTAAACCCGCATATAAACTCTACTCATCTGTGCATCTCATTAAAGGGGCATCCTTAGAACCACAAATTACTCTGATCATTTGTGGTTCTCAACCCGCACGCTAAGCTAGAGCAGTACAACCGAGGGCCACACATCGGAAGAGACCATTTTGCCTCGCATTCACCGTCTCGTCCGAAACCCTTCTTTCACAGAGAGTATTAAGAATATTTTTCCCGCAACGAATTCAGTAAAAACCATCTAAATTTCGAGAGAAAATGACGAGTGAAAATTTTATAAAAAGTACTAGATTAGGTGGCTCATTCTGTGTCTTGGAAAAGTCCCATTCGTGACACACTTGCGGCGAGAATGCGTGGAGGGAGCGAGAGTGATTGTCCTGCCAGGCATGACTGAGGGGTTCCCTTGTGCAGTGCACGTGAGCAGAGCTTAGCGGCGCTGATCAATGGAAGGCGTCTTAATCGCGCTCACTTGATTAGAGGGAAGGTAACCCGAGAGCCTCGTGTCAGGGACGCCGAGTGCTGGGCATCCAAAGTTGCTGGATTTATGGAGGTAATAATATCTCGGCGAGTGCGCGGTGATTACTCAATGTGTTGAAGAAGTGAGATGCTGTAGTGAAAAAATAATAACTCAGTACTCACTGCAGAGAGTGACAGATAGCGCATTTTCTCGTCGACGAAAACGTGAAGTCACGGACGGACGGACATGGCGAGATTTTCTGAGGCCTTCTTGAGATTTGTTGTTTTTGGAGGCTCATCAATTGCAGCCTTCAGAACCCCATGAAAGGCTTCATTTAATCAAACTTTTTCAGGTCAACTCGCGACAATAAATCTCATGATATGATGAATATCATTCGTGCACAAAACCACTTGTTTCCCAGGTTGGATCAAGAAACGTTATGACCAACTTTACATAGAATGATAGATTGTAGAATTAAAACATTTCATGCGGTCAATCTAATTGATACCATTTTTACGCTGATGTTCCACGGTCGAAAATAAATTGAATCTGTGTTCTTGATATTAAATCCAAATCGTAAATACGAACGAAGCGCCTTTCCGCAGCGGCTACGGTCACCTTTTTCTTGCGAACAAAGAAGTGTTGCGGCGATCAGGAAAGGAGAGGCAGATGGAGGCTGTACAGGGAACGTGGCAGTGAAGAGAGGAGGAGAGGCAGATGGAGGCTGTACAAGGAACGTGGCAGTGAAGAGAGGAGGAGAGGCAGATGGAGGCTGTACAGGGAACGTGGCAGTGATGAGAGGAGGAGAGGCAGATGGAGGCTGTACAGGGAACGTGGCAGTGAAGAGAAGAGGAGAGGCAGATGGAGGCGGTACAGAGGACGTGACAGTGAAGAGAGGAGGAGAGGCAGATGGAGGCTGTACAGAGGACGTGACAGTGAAGAGAGGAGGAGGAGAGACAGGTGGAGGCTGTACAGGGAACGTGGCAGTGAAGAGAGGAGGAGGAGAGGCAGCAAGTCTTTACCAAGTACTGAATAAAAAAATTTAAGAGCGAGGTTACAGGTTGGCTGTTATGAGAGGAGGGTGAGGGGAGAGAGGAAGGGAAGGGATAGTATGGCACGGCTGCTGTGATTTTGAGGCTTGATGATTGAAATAATATGGTTTCTTTCGTTGATTCAAACAAAATTTCTCACCGCTGAAAAGGGTTAGATTTCCTAGAAGATATCTACTTTAATAATAAGAATATCCTAATTTGCGAATTAAATATCATGCAAATCCACTGGAAAGTGTGAAACGATATAATATGAATTTTTTTAAGATAATTGATTTGATATGAATCAACACGAAAAATAAAAGCAAAACTGAAATAGGAAAGTTCCAGTTATTAGCGAATAAAAGTTACGGCATTACAAAGTTACTGATTTGCTGTAAGTTGAGGCCGGTTCTATATATTTTAACGGTGCTTAACAATATCAACTAATATTTCGGGCAAAAAAAAGTCCTTCTAAATTAGAACTGCCAGGCAGCCAAATGAAATGCTACTGAGGCCGTGGAGGTCACGTTATGCAAGAGCAACTACTGCAATAGCCTATCCGCATCCTACTGTATAGGAGCTTGTCCATGAATCAAGGAAAAATGTATTGTCGGGCAATTAAAAGTTTTCAACGCCAATTAAAATTTAAAAATATTTAATCGCTCGAGAGTGTAATAATAATCATTTGAAGGGCTTATTATATACGGCAAGGAGCGTTCGTTGCTGTGTTGTCCGCAGGATTAACCGTATACAAAGCATGGAAGCTGTCCGGCGTGGCTACGAGTGCGCCATACGTGAGGACTGCTTGCAATGGATGCGTGGCTCACAAACTCTGTAGTAAATTGGTAATAATTCTATAATATTAATTTATATTGTTTTCATGGGTGCTTATATTTACACCACTAAACGAGACTGCACTCTCTGATGCAGGATTTGTTCTCAGTGCTTGACTTGGGTATTGAAAATCATGAAGCACCACCTGAGCGAGCTGGAGTCGAGCATTTATCAACCGCAAACAGGATGAGCAGGATTTCTAAGACTTAATCCTTATGGCAGGGCTCGAGCTGAGGCAGGGCTGATGCAGGTGTGCAGGTGCAAAAGCTCTGCTAGCCTTCGTCTGGGCGGTAAGTCTATAAGCCACTCGCTACAATTAAGAAAAATTCGAAAAAGTTATATTAGAAATTTTATCGTTAAATTGTCACCGTAACCTCGATTGTTTTTACCAATCAATAAAAATTACGATCGTTGAATTTGTCATTGATTCAAGTACTCTATTATCGTCACTGTCTTAGCTAAAATTTCAACAGCCACAATTTCAAGCTAATGATGAGCGTTACCAATTAACAGGAAGCCATCATCTCGTGAAAAAAAGATTTGTTGGGCTCTTCACCGTCTCAACACTTCCTTTTAACTACGAGTTACTGAACTTCGAATTAG